GCTGTACCCCCTAATCCTGCTGTATCCCCAACCCTGCTGTACCTCTTAATCCTGCTGTACCCCCAACCCTGCAGCACCACCTAATCCTCCTCTATCTCCTAGCCCTGCTGTACCTACTAACCCTGCTGTACCCCCTAACTCTGCTGTACCCCCTAACTCTGCTGTATACCCTAACCCTGCTGTACCCCATAATCCTGCTGTACCCACTAATCCAGCTGTACCTCCTAGCCCTGCTGTACCCTCTAACCCTGCTGTACTCCCTAATCCTGTTGTACCCCCTAATCCAGCTGCACCTCCTAACCCTCCTGTACCCTCTAACCCTGCAGCACCTCCTAACCCTGCTGTATGTTCTAATCCTGCTACACCTCCTAACCCTGCTGTAACCCCTAGCCCTACTGTACCCCCTAACCCTGCTATACTCCCTAATCCTGCTGTACCTCCTAACCCTGCTGTATCCCCCAACCCTGCAGCACCTCCTAATCCTGCAGTACCCCCTAACCCTGCTATACCCCCTAACTCTGCTGTACCTGCTAAGCCTGCAGCACCTCTTAACCCTGCTGTACCCCCTAACCCTGCTACACCTCCTAATCCTGCAGTACCCCCTAACCCTGCTATACCCCCTAACCCTCCTGTACCCTCTAACCCTGCAGCACCTCCTAATCCTGCAGTACCCCCTAACCCTGCTATACCCCCTAACTCTGCTGTACCCTCTAAGCCTGCAGCACCTCTTAACCCTGCTGTACCTCCTACCCCTGCTACATCCCCTGATCCTGCTGTACCCCCTAACCCAGAGGAGACAACTCCGAGAGATTGAGACCCGCAGGTGCCCAAAGGTGACATTTTTGGGGGAGCAGGCACAGCCCACGCGACAATGACGAAACTGGCCCCTCTCCCCTCTGCTCCTCCCTCCTCCCTCTCTCCCCTGCTCCCGCAGTGACCGGACTGCACGTTACTACTACTACTGGCACCTGAGGAAGCAGGTGCTGCATTCCCAGTGTGTCCTGCGGGAAGAGGCCTATTTCCTCCTCACCGCCTTCGCCCTCCAAGCCGACCTGGGAGACTTCAAGCGCAACAAGCACTACGGGAAGTACTTCGAGCCCGAAGCCTATTTCCCCGCCTGGGTGAGTGTTTCCCTGCTCTGAGCTTGAGGGAGCCCCCGGGAAGCGGCTCAGAGGGTTCCCAGGCGGCCGCCGTTCCGGCTGCATCCCTGTCTCTGGCTTAATCCTGGTTATTAATAACCTGGGACAACTGCGGGGCTGGAAATAGCTGTGGGAAGGGAGGGTTGGGGTTGGTGTGGGGCTGGAGCAGCTCCTGCGCTGGGGGGGATTTCCCTGTGTGCTGCTGGGATGCTCACAGGGCATTCCCTGTGTGGCAGGGATTCCCTGTGTGCCGTGTGCCAGCACGGCATCACCCCACCACCATCAGGTGTAGCCCCTCCGGCTTTGCAGTCCTTTGGGAACTGGTTTCACAGAACCATAGAATCCCAGAATGGTTTGGGTTGGAAAGGACCTTCAAGACCATCTCATTTCACCCCCTGCCATAGGCAGGGACACCTTCCACTACCCCCAGTTGCTCCAAGCCCCATCCAACCTGACCTGGAGCACTTTCAGGGATCCAGAGGCAGCCACAGCTTCTCTGGGCAACCTGTGCCAGGGCCTCACCTCCTTCACAGCCAAGAATTCCTTCCCAATATCCCATCTAACTCTGCCCTCTGGCAGTGGGAAGCCATTCCCTCTTGTCCTGTCCCTCCAGGCCCTTGTCCCCAGTCCCTCTCCAGCTCTGTTGGAGCCCCTTTAGGTGCTCAAAGGCCTCTCTGGAGCCTTCTCTTCTCCTTTCCAACCTCTTTTTTGTTTTTTTTTTTCCAAAATTTGCTGGCTTCTCTTTTTCTCACACATGTCACTGAGGAGTGATGGCCCTGGGTCCGTGTGCCCATTCACACAGGGAGTCTGAGCATGGCTCTCCTGGCCCAGCACAGGTGTCACCAGTGGTGTGAGCTCCATGGGCTGGGCACAGGGAGCACACATGCACTTCCCAGTGGGAAATCCTGCTGGTGAGAAGCTGCTGGCCACTGTATCTATTTTATTTTTTTCCTGCAGGTCTCTATAACAAATCGTGCTGCTCCCCTTTCCCCTTTTCCCTTGGAATCACCACTGCCCAGGAGCGCTGGGGCAGAATCGGGCCCTGAGCGAGCAGGGAGCAGCTGGACAAACTTCTCCTCTCCTCCAAACAGGTGGTTGCAAAGAGGGGCAAGGACTACATCCTGAAGCACGTCCCCAACATGCACAAAGACCAGTTTGCCCTGACGGCCTCTGAAGCCCATCTCAAGTACATCAAGGAGGCCGTCCGGCTCGACGACGTGCCCGTGCACTACTACAGGTTGTACAAGGTGAGCCCCACCCAGGAGGTTTTGAGGTTTCTGGGATCTTATTTTTGGCAGTCCCCTCTCCAGGAAATATGTCACAGAATCACAGGATACACTGAGTTGGAAGGGACCCACAAGGATCACTGAGTGCAGCCCTTAGTCCTGCACAGGACCATCCCCAAGAGTCATATGCTGGGTCCTTCTCCTGGGAACAAAGCAGTTTGTTTGCTGGGAGATGGTGCTTCACAGGCCTTTTTGTAGCATCCTGAAGTTAAAAATGAGAAGCTTTTGGGAGAGCACAGGATGCTGTGATAGAATCCTGGACTGGTCTGCGTTGGAAGGGACTTGAGAGGTCATCTCGTTCCACCCCCTGCAAGGAGCAGGGACACCTTCCACTAGACCACGTTGCTCCAAGTCCTGTCCAACCTGGCCTTGGACACTTCCAGGGATCCAGGGGCAGCCACAGCTTCTCTGGGCAACCTGTGCCAGGGCCTCCCCACCCTCACAGTATGATTATATTATTAATTTGGCACATTAATCATATAATGGTGACTGGGGTGACTAATGGAGGATCTCTGGGCTGAGCTGGGGCTGATTCTCCACTTCATGCTGCAAATTGGGTATTTAAAACCATGTAATTTTTTCCCCCTTAGGACAAAAGGGAAGTGGAGGCCTCCCTGACGCTGGGGCTGACAACACGGGGCATCCAGATCTTCCAGGTAGGTGGCTGAGGGAGGGTGATGGATCAGCTTGGCTCCCTGCCCCTGTTAGCATCCTCAGCCAGGGCTCCCTCTCCTCTTTTTGCAGAATTTGGATGAAGAAAAGCAGCTGCTCTACGACTTCCCGTGGACAAACGTGGGAAAACTGGTTTTTGTGGTGAGTGCCACCATTTCCACTGGGAGCAGAGCTTCCAGCTCTGGGGTCCTCAGCACAGGAAGGATGTGAGCCTGTTGGAGCAGGTCCAGGGGAGGTCAGAGAGATGCTCCAAGGGATGGAGCACCTCTGCTCTGGAGACAGGCTAGGAGAGCTGGGGGTGTTCACCTGGACAAGAGAAGGCTCCAGGGAGACCTGAGAACCTCTTCCAGGGCCTAAAGGGGCTCCAGGAGAGCTGGGGAGGGACTTGGGACAAGGGATGGAGGGACAGGATGAGGGGGAATGGCTTCCCACTGCCAGAGGGCAGGGATAGATGGAATACTGGGAAGAAATTCTTGGCTGTGAGGGTGGTGAGGCCCTGGCACAGGTTGTCCAGAGAAGCTGTGGCTGCCCCTGGATCCTTGGAAGTGTTCCAGGTTGGATTGGACGGGTCTTGGAGCAACCTGGGGTAGTGGAGGTGAAATGAGATGATCTTGAAGGTCCTTTCCAGCCCCAACCACTCTGTGATTCCATGATCCCCAGGCAGAGCATCTCCTGGGCTCTGATTTGGGCGTGGGGCACAGTTGCCCAGACCTCAAGCGGGTGATTGCAACCCGTAGGTTAACCATGGGCTGCAGCAGGACAGGGGGGAGAAATGGAGTGTTTTCCCTCTTCGGGGCTGATCTCCCCCTTCTCCCACACAGGGCAAGAAGTTTGAGATCCTGCCTGACGGGCTGCCCTCTGCCAGGAAGCTCATTTACTACACGGGGTGCCCGCTGCGCTCCCGGCACCTGCTGCAGCTGCTGAGCAGCAGCCACCGGCTCTACATGAACCTGCAGCCCGTCCTGCGCCAGGTCCGGCGCCTGGAGGAGAACGAGGGTAGGTCCCCTGGTGACAGGCTCCCAAATCCCACAGTGACAGGCTCCCAAATCCCACCGGTGACAGGCTCCCAAATCCCACAGTGACAGGCTCCCACCTGGCATTTCTGCCCCTAGGAGTGCCTGGTGTGCCAGCCCCGTGGCTGGGAGTGTGTCAGGGGATGACTGTCCCCACGTCCCCCCAGGCTGTGCATCCTATGCCCCATCCCTGCCCAACAGGATAATCTCCTGGCAGGGCTGGGTGTCCACGTTCCCATTAGATACTGAGGGATACAAGTTCTTCTTCCTCCTCTTTCCTCTCCTCATCTTCCTCTTTCTCTTCCTCATCTTCCTTTTCCCCTCCTCCTCCTTTTCTTATTTGTTCTCCTTGTCCTACTCTTCTTTCTTCTCCTCTTCATCCTCCACATCTTCTTCCTTCTCATCTCATTCCTCGTCCTCATCTTCATCCTCCTTTTGTTTTTCTCCTCCTCCTCTTCTACCTCTACTTTCTTTTTCTCTTCCTCCTCTTCCTTTTTCTCTTCCTCCTCCTCTTCTTCCTCTTCCTCCTCCTCTTCCTCTTCCTGCTTCTCTTCTTGCTCTTTCTTCTCTTTTCCCTTCTCATCTTCCTTTGTCTTCCTCATCTCCCTCTTTCCCCTCCTCTTCTTCCTCTTTTTTCTTCTCATCTTATTCTTCCTCCTCATCCTCCTCATCTACTTTCTTCTCCACCTACTCCTCAACTTCTTCTTCCTCCTTGTCCTCCTCATCTTCTTCTTTCTCCTCATCTTCATCTTCCTCCTCTCTTTTTTTCTTCCTCTTCCTGCATCTCCTAATTTTCTTTCTCCTTCTCCTCCTCTTCCTCAACTCTTATTCCTCCTCCTCCTCCCCCTTTGAGGGGCAGCCCAGCACAGAGCACAGCAACTTTGAGGCCCCCCATCCCACCATCCCTAAATGCCACCAGGGCAGGGCTGCCTCCAGGTGTGTCCCCACGCCGGGCTCGGGTGGCAGTTCCCCCGGGTGCCCCTGTGTGCCGGGGTGGTCCGTGCCCTTCCAGGGAATCCAGGGAGCACCGGGGGGTCGGGATGCAGGCTGCTGACGTTGTTCTACCCTGCAGAGAAGAAGCAGTACCGGGAATCCTACATCAGCGACACCCTGGACCTGGACATGGAGCAGCTGGAGAAGCGCTCGCGCGCCAGCGGCAGCAGCGCCGGCAGCATCCGCACAAGGCGGCTCTCCCGGCATTCCACCGCCAGCCACAGCAGCTCCCACACCTCCGGCATCGAGGCCGACCCCAAGCCCAGGGAGATGGGGCCCGACGACGGCTTCTCCGGCGCCGGCGCCCACCGCAAGCTGAAGACCTGCAGCTCCATGACCAGCCACGGCAGCTCCCACACCTCCGGCGTGGAGAGCGGCGGGAAGGACCGGCTGGAGGAGGACTCCCAGGATGATGGTGAGACACCGGTTTGGGCTTTCCAGCGTGAGTCCCGGCGGGTGGTCGGGGTGTGAGGAGTCACGTCAGCGGCTCGTCCCACCTTCTTGTCTCCGGCAGAAATCGAGATGCTGGTGGATGACCCCCGGGAGCTGGAGCAGGCTGGAGACATGGAGGTGAGCCCCGACATGTGTGTCTACATCACGGAGGACATGCTGCTGTCCCGCAAGTTCAACGGGCACTCGGGTAAGGCGGTGGCCGCTTTCACTTCCAATTCCCCAGCCCAAGTCATACCTTTGGGGCTTGGAATGAGAGGGTGTTTAAGGTACCTTCCAACCCAGGTCATTCTGTGATTCTTTGGTGTTCAGCAGAGCGGAATTAGCCCAAAGTGTCCATTTGGGACACCGGGAAAAGCCTTTTGCCCAAGTGGGTTGAAGGAGAGATGGGGTAAAAAAAAGAGGAGACTGCCTCAAGTTGTGCCAGGGGGTGTTTAGGCTGATATTAGGGAAAATTTCTACGTGGAAAGCGTGGTCCATCCCCAGCACAGCTACCCAGGGAAGTGGTAAAGTTCCTATCCCTGCAGGGATTTAAAAGGATGTGGCACTTGGGGACATGGGTTAGTGGTGGCCTTGGCAGTGCTGGAGGAATGGTTGGACTCAATGATCTTCTCTGGAGCTGTGCCTGCACCCAGGGAGTCACCCACATTTCCAGCTCCATGCTGGGAGGTTTCTGAGGTACCAGGCTCACTGGGGATGGCTTTGGATGCAGTTCTGGGGGATAATTTGGGATGCTTTGTAGCTAGTGGCACCCTGTTGAGCAGAGGCTGCCTTGTGCCCCAAAGCAGGGACAAGCCCCAGGGGCAGCAGGGTTGGATCCCAAGAGAGCTGAGACACCTCAAAATTAACCTTCGCACCCTCCTCTCCCTCCCTTCTCCACGCAGGGCTTATCGTGAAGGAGATCAGCTCCTCCACCTCCAGCTCCTCGGAGACGGTGGTGAAGCTGCGGGGGCAGAGCACCGACTCCCTGCCCCAGGTGCGTGGCCCTGGGGGGGTGGTTCGGGGTGGTTCGGTGGGGCTGCCATTTTTCAGGATTCCCTTGGCTTCCCGGAGGGTCCTGAAGCCCCTTTGCTTTTTCCCCAGACGTCGTGCAGGAAGTCGAAGACGTCGACGGACCGGCACAGCCTGAGCCTGGACGACATCCGGCTCTACCAGAAGGACTTCCTCCAGCTGGCCAACCTGTGCCAGGACACGGCGCAGAGCTACACCTTCGGCTGCGCCCACGGGCTGGACGAGGACGGGCTCTACTGCAACGGCTGCCTGGCCCAGCAGTGCATCAACATCCAGGAGACCTTCCCCGTCAAAAGAACCAGCAAATACTTCTCCTTGGACCTCACCCACGACGAAGTCCCCGAGTTCGTGGTCTGAGCGCCTCGGAGGGAGGGGGCAGGACCTGCTGCCCGCCCTCGGGGGTGGGGGAGGATGGGGCTCCCTGCCCTGCATGGAGGGGGGGTGTCCACAGCGCCTTCCCCCCACCCCGCCCCGCTCCCTGTTCCCGTGGGAACCGCGGCACCGGGAGGATTTGTCCCGATGGGGATCCCCGGGCGCGGCGGATCGACTCCGGATGAGTCTGTGCCAAACACAAGCTGTCTTATTTCGACTGGGAGAAGCACAGCTCGCCTGACCAGCAGAAGCCCACCCGTGTTTTCTCGTCGTGGCCTCTTCCCCTCCTTGCCCCCCACCCCGTCTGAGAGAAAGTGCCAGACTGTTGAGTTCAAGTCAAGCCAAAGAAATGTAAATAACCCTAAAGGCCAGTATGGGAAGGGAGAATTAAGCAATAATGATGTTCCGTGGAGGAAGGCACGGCTGGGGCAGAGCATCATCCCGGTTCTTCCAAAAACACGTCCTGGGGGTCAGGCCAGAGCGGTTCCCAGCGAGGTGGATGGTGGCTGGGAGTTGGCAGAGCCATTTGCAACTTGTTTTAATCTTTTTCTTTAAAAAAAAATTTTTTTTTTTTTTGAGAGCAAAACCCCAAAACCAAAAAAAAAAAACAAAACAAAAAAAAACCACCTCAAAAAAAGAAAAAAAAGAAAGCAAAGAAGGATGGAAAAGATGGAAAAGAACAGGTCCCATGTAAGGATATTGCAATAATGCATCTGAAAGGTTGAATATCTAGAGAATACATATATAAATATATCGAGGTATGTATGTTTATATATGTCTGGATCTTATAGACCCATTTGCATTTTACTCCTGCTCTAAAATCCCTTTTATACAAAGGAGCTGCCTCTCTTCTTTCATGAACTGTATAAATAATCATATTTTTTTTCTAAGCACTAAGGTGAGAAAATAGACTTTCCTCTCGAGGAGAATATGTATGCAACTGCCTTGTATGTGTGGCTCTTCCCGGTGCAGTCTCTGTTGTATTTTCCCAAGGCTTTTCACGTGTCTTTAAGTCTCTTACAGTTGGAATAATTCTGCCAGAGGATGCTGGTGATGTGCTAGAAAAATCCAAGGGCGGTTTCTGAGAGTGTCCTAGGGAAGCCAGACAGCCCAGGTGGAATATTTGCCATCGGTACCGGAGGGTGAAGCATTACAGAGCTAATATTCACAGCACAATGCCTTTTTAGCAGATATTTTTAATTAGAGTTTAGCCATTGACAGCCAAAGTTCTGCCATATTTTGATACACCACCGTTTTTTAACTGGAAGCTTTTCTTAAAAAAAAAAAAGAAAAATTATAATTATTTTATAAATAAGCACAATCTTATTTTTGTAAGAAATGTTGGGGGAGGGAGCCAAGAAAGGGGAGCTGGTACCAAAAGAAAGGGAGCGTAGCTAGAGGCACAGTGCCAAAAAACCTCGGTGTTATTGGGATTTTTGGGATGTGGGAGCAGGTGTGGGAGAGCTTCAGGTGCTGCTGTGGGACTGTGGCACTGGCAGCATGTCCCCACCTCAGGATTTTGCATGGCACAAAGGATTTTATGGGAAAATAACGTTGATATCCAAGTGCTGGCGGGGCAAGCAGGAGGATGGTGGTCCCTAAAGCATCCTTATCTCCCTAAATCCACACAGGGCAGCTGGTGGATGCTGCCTGGGGGCTCAGGGCTGTGTGCCCTGCTCTGGTTTTGGGGGGGACACCCCAAAAGCTTCTCCTGTGAGTGCCACATCCGAGGCTGGGATCCTGTTTGCCTCTCCAGATCCCCGTCCATGGCTGGATTTGTGGTGTGTGCACCAGCAATGTGGGTTTCCATGTTGGTACAGGCAGGAAAATTCCCCAAATTCACCCCCAGCCTCTTTTTTTCCCCCTCTGCTGGGGAGTCATGCTGGCACCCCCTCCATCCACGGGATCCTCACCCACTGCCCTGCCGAAACACGGAGCTGGAGGGGAAAAAAAAGGGATAAATTGTGGAAAGAAATGCTCAAAATTGGGCAGGGGGGGCAGCTAAACCAGGGCCTCTCCATTCCTCCCCCTCATCCCGTTATCCTGAAGCTGGACTGGAGTGTTGGAGTGATGGGGTTGGGATGATGTGTTGGGCTGTGATGGAGCTCACCCCTGGACAAGCAGGAGCAGTGCCAGGGTGCAGGGGGGACACAGAGGTGCCATTGGAGCAGGGGGGACACAGAGGTGCCATTTATTCCCGTTTATTCCGCAGGTGGCCGGGGCGGCTCCGGCAGGGACCGGGGGTGGCCGTGCCCGCCCTGCCCTCGGCCGATTCCCCCCCGCAATAACGAGCTGTCTGTCTGCACAAAATAGTCCTTTCTGTGAAAGGATCTTCCCGTCGGGGGCGATGGGAGAGCCAGTGACTGTGTTGCAAAAGGAACAAAGACATAAAAGAAAAAAAAAAAAAAGAAAAGGAAAAAGAAAAAAAAAAAAAACTCAAGGAAAACTGTACGAACTTCTCCCCCCACACACACCCCCGGAGCGAAATTCTTTTGTACCAATGAAGTTTGTTGTGTGCCTTTCGCGGTACGGCTGGACGTGACAATAAAGTGACAGTTGTTTGCATCGCTTTGACTCGTGGAGATCTGAAATGCTCCCAGGCTTAAGGGAGGGGTCTGAATTTAAGGACACGCTGCGTTTATTGTGCTCTCTGCTCCGGCGATCCCGGCTCCGGAGAGCTGGTTAAGGCAACTCCTGCCTCGGGCGGGGGAATGGATGGGCTGAGCCTTTCAGTTCTGATTTTTGGGGTGATTTTTATGGAAGTGGCAGCCAGGTCCAGCGCTCTGGAGCTGGGTGGAGGTGCTGGGGGAGCTGCAGGAGCTCCTGAAATGAGTGGGGTTAGGGGGTATCCACAGTAAGGGATGTAGATCCTGTGCTCCTTGCAGCTGTGCTTCCCGAGGGGATGTTCAGAGGGGTCCTCAACTCGCAGAAGTCCTGGGATAAAGGGATGAGCCCCTTGTTGTGGAGCTGGTTGGGAAAAGCCTGTCCCCAGGGCCCCCAGTCCTCCTCCCCACCTCGGGGAACAGACAGGAGTGACCAGTGTGATGAGTGAGTCCATCCTCTGCTGGCCACACTCCACCCCTTTAATCCCACTTTCTCCCTCTCCCTCTTCTTGCAGCGGGCTCTCCTTAGGGACAATAGGATGAGTGTTTGGGAGCAGCAGCCAGGTGAGTTTTCCCAAGGGAGGATCCTAAATTGATGTTTTTGTGTGAACCACCTGGTGTGTGATAGAGGGTTTGTGCTGCTTTTCTCCTCCACAACACCCAGGAGCACCATCCCATCTCCCACTAGTGCTAATTAAACTCCACAGAACATAATTAGCCAGCCCTTTTCCTTGTGATTTTGCCAGTTTTTGCTGATCCTGGCATCTCCTTCCTCCAGCCAAGGAAAACTGTTATGGATGGTACAAACACCCACAGCCTTTCCGTGTCCCCATTCCCAGCTGCCGGAGCGTCTCTGGATCCTCAGTGTATTTATCCTCTTGCAGGGAGAGAGTGTGGAGTGACAGGACAAATAGGAATGGCTTCCCACTGCCAGAGGGCAGGGTTAGATGGGATATTGGGAAGAAATTCTTCCCTGTGAGGGTGGTGAGGCCCTGGCACAGGTTGCCCAGAGAAGCTGTGGCTGCTCCATCCCTGGAAGTGTCCAAGGCCAGGTTGGAAGGGTCTTGGAGCAACGTGGTCTAGTGGAAGGTGCATGGCAGGGACTGAGTGGGATGAGATGATCTTTAAGGCCCGAACCATTCTGGGATTCTATGATTCCATGAAGATGATGAAGAGCCTGTTCTCCCATAGGGAAGCAGCACCAGTAAAGCTTCTGGAGTGGTTTCTGCCAGTACAAGCCACTGTCCTGGGATGCAACCATGCCCTACTTTAAGGCTGGGGGTCCAGGAGCATGGAGCATCCTTGGATTCTGCCTGCCTTTGCTGTCCATGCCTCCAAACACTCTGGGAGAGAGATGAGGATGGAGACATGGGGCTGTGCCCCTCCAGCAAGGGGTATCCCCACTGCTCCCCTCCCCTGGCACTCTCAGCACCCACAGCACCAGGAGCATCCTGTGCCTTTTCTATGGGCTCCAAAAATAATTGCATGTTACCAGAGAATTCCCTTTGTCCTCTAAAAATACCCCTTGGCCCCCGCGAGGCAGGCACTGACCGTGGCCGGTCTCGGTGCCTAATTGCTGATTTCTGCTGAGACCCGACATTTTCGGGGCAGGAGGGAGGAGCACGAGAGAATCAGCAACTTCTGGGAGGGGGACTGCATTGTCTGCTGCTAAGTATAGCCTCCAGATTTCAGCCCTGGCCTAAAAAAAACCCCTAAATTTTCCTAAAACCAGATGTGGAAGGGTTTTTTGGACCAGCCAGCCCTGTCTCCCCAGGGGTGAGGAGGGGAGGTGGCTCTTCCCTCCCCATGGGCTGTGTTTAATAAAGGCTAAATAGGAATGAATTTAATGAATCCCCCTCCCTTTGATGACTCGGCCTCCATTTCTCCTTCATCTTGCCACGAGGGAGGTCTCCAGGGGAGGGAAAGGTCCTCCAGTTCCCATCCTGGCGTGTCCCCAGGCACCCACGCTGGCCTTTTCCCTGGGATGCTCCCGGCTGCTGGCAGCCCTCCTGCTGCTCTGAGTTACCATTTCACAGATTTAAGCTCTGACAAAAAGGCTGCACTTGGGCCACCTCACCTCCAGTTTCTCCAGACTTTGCACCTCC